TGGCTAAAGGTCGGTGCTGATTGGCCTGATTTACTCAATAATTACTCCTTTATTATAAATAATAGAAAAAAATGGTTCAAGACTTTTCGACTCAGTTTTATTTCTTCTATCTGTCTACGAGAGATTGTACGGCAATTCTGGGACACTCTGTATATATATATGCACAGAAAATATATTAAAATGTTAAAATTTGATATCAAATGTAGCCCAAAAATGACGAAGTATTTTATGACAAGATATTATAGTTTTTATTTTTTATTTTTTTATGAACAATATACAGCAGAATAATATTAAAAGAAGTTGTAATATATGAAAAAAGTGTGTGTGTGTGTGTGTGTGTGTGTGTGTGTGTGTGTGTAAACTTGAAAAATTAAGATCTACTTACTTCTTTTGACATTTTGCAAATCAAACAGCGAGAATTTTAATTAAACTACCGGATTATATACACAAGATCTTAGGGTTATAAAATCCAAACCAAAAGAAATCGGAAATAATCTCAAAAACTGCTTTCTAGAGGTTAATGTTTAACTGTCAAGAAAGCTACAATGTAGTTTGAAGATAAGAGCGAGTGGTTAGGTATTGTGCAAAGACACAGGCAAAGTACACTACACTACATAATTGTTTATTTAGTGCCTCATATTCGTGTTAATATAAGATTTTATCAAAGACTTATCTTATAAGCGCTTGAGCGCAAAGATAGATCGAAACTCAGCGAGATCATCTCACACACATGTTACATTATCGATCGCCTTCTTCTTCTTCTTTGCATAAATGGCGCACGCCCCTGCACGTGAGGAGCAAAAGCCAGTCTGAGCAGAGAGAAACCTGAGAGCGGCCATCCAAATGTAATTTTTTACGACGGTTTCAGCCGCTGGTTTTAGCCGTATTTCCACAAAAGTGGAACTCAAAGGCCGTTCTACATTAAACGCAAGTAACAGATCTCGTGGAATTGACCAATTGCAGAGTCAAATCAGCCAATCGACCAACGTGATTGATCAGTTCCACGAGATCTGCGACTTGCGTTTAATGTAGAACGGCCTTTGAGTTCCACTTTTGTGGAAATACGGCTAAAACCAACGGCTGAAACCGTCGTAAAAAATTACAATAGAATGGCCGCTCTCAGGTTTCTCTCTGGTCTGAGACAAATAATTGAAAACGCAATATACTAGGGATTTTATGACAGGTGCTACATCGCTAGGAAAAAGGAGTAAAAGAAGCAGGTGTAATAAGGTTGTGGAATGATTGCAAATTCAGTAGGAAAGGATTATATATTGATGTTGGTAGAGTTGACGAACGAAAGGAGAGCATACATAGCGCGAAAAAATTTGGAAAAGGCGACCTCCTCTACGCAGTAGGGAGGGCTAAAGCCATTATGAAATAAGTCAATGATTAACTTGTCTGACTGAGTTTTGTACATAGGACATTGAAAGAAAACATGATTTATGTCTTGAGTTGGATGACCACATGGGCACTCTGAGGAAGCCACTATGCCTTTTTCCTTTAAGTATGCGTTGACTGCTGTATGATGTGAGCGCATTCTAGACACAAGTGTGACTAAGGGGCGAGGTAGAATTTTCTTTTTCTTTACTTTATTGAACCAAGGCTTACCCAAGGGTACGGGCTTTCTCTGGAAGTACGCAGCTCTCTTTACATTTGCTTTGTCGAGTAGATGTCTCCTGGCCCTGTCCAACACGTCCAACCGAAGGGTGGGGAACAGCGAGGAGACATCCAGTTCGCCTTCAGAGCGAGGTCAAAGAGAGTTTAGCGTACTTGTCTGCCTTTTCGTTGCCACTTATGGTGCAGTGTCTAGGGACCCACATCAACACCACCGAGACGCCAGCACTTTTAGGTTCCAACACTAATTCTTTTATTTGATATATCAGCGGAGAGTGTGCACCTTTAGGGTCAGTTGACCCAGAGCAAGAGATCACACTGAAAGAGTCAGAGACTATGACAACCTTTGCAAAGCCAAAATCTCTTAAGTACTCCAGGGCACAGACAACGCCATGGGCCTCCGCATCAAAGATGGTAGAGTTATTACTTACTCGTTCATAGTTAATAAGTTCGAGACCCGTCGGTGAAGAACACCCTAGAGACGCCGCGGTTTCTGAGGAAGTCGCTGAGATACTGTTGTGGATCTTCAGCCTGACGTGCAAGGAACCTTGTATCAGTATCTACTTCACACTCAAAGAACCTGACATGGTACGGAAGAGCAAGGCTCCCCGAAAGTGGAAATCTTTTAACGTCCTTAAGAAGGTGTTGAAGATCTTGGTACACGGAGAAGAGATCGAACTCGTTTCCTGCACAAATAGGTTCCTATGTTTCACAAGTGTCACCAAGTAGCCGTTCCAACGGGTGGCTGTACCTCGCATAAACTCTACACACATACTTGCTAACAAGATACGTGTGTCTACACTGTAAGCGTTGTTCTCCAACAATGTCAAGTGACACATTGGTCGGAGTTGTGCGCATGAAATCACAGACTACCTTAGCACAAGCAAACTGTAAGCGGTCCAACACAATGCTTTCGCGTATTCCAAGCGGAAAGATTACCTGGTAGCCCCATTCTAAGACGGAGCGTACCAGTCCCTTGTGAGCAGTTAGTAAGACAGCGGGGTGGGTTCCCCACTTTATCCCTGCCAGTATCTTAAGGATGTTAATGCGTGGAAGGACTCTTTTTCTTGTTTCAGCTACGTGTTTCTTCCACGAGAGAGAATAATCGATGTGGACTCCGAGGAATCTTACTGTCCACTCTATGTTGAGTTTAACCCCGCTTATGTGGACATTTACTCCTTTCTTTTTTATGAGCCACTTCATGTTTCTTAGGGGGTAAAGTGAGTAGAAGGTGGCTACAGATTTACTGGGTGAGACTCGAAGACCGAGTGAGGTTAAGTGGAACTGTACCCGGTCCAGGGCCGTATTTAGTTTCTGAGCGACAACTGACACTGAGGAGTTTGAACAGAAGATAACTATGTCGTCCGCGTATATAAGGGCTTTAACATCTGTAAATAGGCAGGACTCGACCAGGGACACATAAATGTTAAACAATATAGGGCTTAAGATAGACCCTTGAAGTAGTCCTCGACTTGTGTTACGAGTCTGAACATAAGTGCCAGAAGCGAATCCTTTCAACCTTCGGAAGCTCACCACTGAGGCCAAGAAAGCTAGCATTTTGGGAGGAATCCCAAAAGAAGGCAACATAGCCAGGAGTGTGTCAGGCACGACATTATCAAAAGCCCCTTCAATGTCAAAAAACACAGCTCCAGTTACTTGACGAGAGTTGTTGGCGACCTTTATACTGGACACTATCATGGTTAAGTTGTCTGTACAGAAGAGTCCCCGTCTGAAACCAAACTGGTGGGGGGAAAGAATATTATTGTTCTCAATCCACCATTCCAGTCAATGACACAACCTTCTCCATTACCTTCAGAAAGTTGTTAGCTAAAGATATCGGCCTATAAGCGCCTTTGCGTCCCGGCTTTGGGATAAAGATGACAAAATAGTCTTTCCACGAGGTTGGGTACATCTGCCTGCAAAACATTAAATTAAAGAGCTTAATTATATACATATAAAGCAAAGGTGGAAACTGTGAAATAATGAAGTTTGTAATAAGATCTGGATCTAAAGCTGACCGAATCTTAAGCGACTTTATCACCGAGAAATACTCTGAGGGTGTAATCTGGCTATCCAGGTATTCATTACTGAGGTTGGAGTTAAGAGGGTTTAGTGACTCGAGAAGATTGGAATGATCAGAAGGGGGATGGTCCACGAAAACAATTTTGTCAAAGGCCTTCCGAAAATCCTCCAAGTCGAGGCAGTTTCTATTACCTTCGTCTCTTGGCTTGTTACAAGCACAAGAGAAGGCTTTGACAGTACTCCACACAGATTCAACGTCTGAGTTGGCGTGTAGAGAGCCGCAATACTTACAAAAGGCTAGGCGTTTTTTTCCTTAGGGCTTTAGACACCTCATTTGCAATTCGACAGTAGTTATCTAAGGTGTCTATATTAGGGTGTGAACAAAACTGTGCAAATGCGGCCTTCTTGCGGGAGTAGATGTCAGAGCAGGAAGCATCCCACCAAGGAGTGGGAGGCTTTCTGGAGGCCCTCGAGGAGGTTGTACGGATGGCTCCTGTCTGTAGGAGAGAGTCATCAACGAGAGTCACAAGTTTGGAGCAGGCAAAATTTACATCTTCTGTAAGATGTAAATGATTCTAGGGCTTAGCGGGGGGAGTGTATCCACCCCTTCTTGGCACTTGGCTTGAAATTCTTTCCAACACACTTGTTTTATAGAATAGTAGGGCCGGTAAGGAATGCGACCAGAGAATCTGTCAGAGATAGCGGTGATCACAGAAAAATGGTCACTTCCATAATGATAGTCACACACGTTCCAGGTACACTGAGGGGCAAGAGTGTCAGAAACTATAGTGAGGTCTATCGCAGAGAACCTAGAAAGGTCTGCGGAGGACCAAGTGTTACTGCCGTTGTTGAGGACTACCCAGGGGGAATTGATAAGCGCGTGCTCTAAATTTTTCCCTTCTCTATTAGAGAGAGAGTGTGTATTGCACCACAGGGGGCTTTTCCCGTTAAAATCGCCACAAATGATAGCTGGTTGGAGTTTAGAGCTTAAATGGAAGAAATTCTGCCAAAAGCAAAGCGCCGTGTAGTTTGAAGAAGATCTAAGAGGACTATATAGCGAGAAAACGTATAGGGTTTGAGAGTTCGGGAGGAACAATTCAACAACCGCGAGTTCAACGCCGTTTTCTTTGCATAAATCTATTAGCTGTGGGATTTCCGGAACACGGAATTTGATGTGTTTAGCTATAGCGATGGCAACTCCATTACCTCTACGGTTGCAATCGTGCAACACGATTTCATAATTTGGTAGGATAATTATGGAGTTACCATCGAGGTATGTTTCACAGAAAGTTGCTACCTCAGCTTTGCAGTCTTGGAGTAGCAGACGGGCCGCGTCTAGATTGCGGACCAAAGATCTGCAGTTCCACTGGACTACAGTAAGAGATTTCATGTTTTTATACAATTAGTAATATACGGAGCTTTAATTATGTGATTCTTGAAGTACTATATAGGTACTTTTGTAATTCTACAACAATATTTTTCATGTCTGTGTTGCTAAGCTGCGAAGGATTTATGTTAGGAGTAACTTTTAATTTCTGAAAGGCATTGATGAGGAGTTCTTTATCCGAGAAAAGTTTGGAAGGTTCATCCCCGGAGGAGATGTTGCCAGAGGATATTTTCTGAGCGATAGAGTCTATGAGAAAGTGATTAAGTGAAGATCTTTTATTTGAAGACAAAGAGGAGGAGATTGCCCCTCTGTTGTTGTTTCTCCATTTAGGTGAGAAACGTACTGAGAAGAGAGGGGGCTTTAGAGAGGTAATCTCTGCATAAGAGAGGTTAGAAGTGAGTGAAGAGTTGTAGAGAGGACCGCCTGAACCCTCAGGTGAGAGGGTGGACCCGACCCGAGGGAAAGGCATTCTCGTACTCACTCTGGATGGTCTCAGAGGCACGGGAGAGCCAGGCTTTCCTCTCCCTGAAAACCGAAAGGCACCACTGTTCGGAAAGAACTCACCGAGTGTGGGGGAGGGGGGAACTGAAACATTGGACAGGTTGGAACCCAGTCCAGAAAGGGTGTTTCCTTTGTCATACAGACTAGCCGCATCACGGAAGGAAAGATCTCTATAGGCCATTATTTTGTGTATCTCTCGTTGTCTCTGGAAAACAAGGCAACGGAGTTCTGAAGACTGATAATTGGCGTTTCCAGTCTTGAAACGGATGCAATTTATGCATTCGTCAAGAACGTTGGGGCAATTGGGTTTGGGGTGACCTGACTTGCCGCACTTTTTGCAGAACCTGCGTCTTTCGTCGCCGGACTGTTTACACGAATGAGCAGTGTGTCCAAACCTTTGGCAGAATTTGCAACGTCTAACCTTATACACATAAGGTGTTAGGGGAAGACGTTTCCCTACATATAAACACGACGGAGGGACCACAGGGGTGCGAAACCTTAGGATGAGCTGATTTGTGCTGACATACCTAGGACTGGAGGTGGCGCTTCTCTTTTCTCTACAAGTGATTCTGACTGCCTCGAAAGGAGGGACCCATTCCTGGCCCCACCCGGGGGAGGGACGAAGACCGACTAACAACTTCTCGACAGTTTCTTCTTCGTCAACGCCCTTCAAAACAAACTGTTTAACCACCCTGAACGATGGGACATGTGCGGTCCACTGTTCGCAGGGGGTTATTCTATCAGCGACTTCCCGGAAGGCCTCGACAAACCGGTTAGCATTATTACCTGTGGGGAAGCAGACCGAAAACTTATTCCTGCCAATCATACGTAAGTCGAAAGCATGTACAAACGGGTGATACTCTATTGACCACAGTACGATTCGACACCGCTCGATTCGACACAGATTTATTCGACACCAAATTATTCGACACCGTACGATT